GGCGCTTGATATAAAAAAATATGGTTCAAAGCGCCCACGCTTTTTTCAGAATAATACTAGCACTTTTCGTTCGTTACTGTTTTAAGCTTGTTTAAAAAAATTATTTTTTGTTTCGATGTTCTTTGAAAGCGTGTTTTTCAGTTTTTTTTAAAGTATATTTATTTTATCAAAATTTTGGGATCAATTAGCCGTATATTGTTCAGAAAAATGACTATTGATATTTTTCGATTCCGGAGAGGGAGCCTGAAAATCAGCTACCAAGCCCAAAGAAGGCAGTAGGCGCACAAAGGAGGGTTACAAATAAGGCAGCAGGCACGCGTGTCAATAAAAAAATACTTTTTTCAAATGAAGAAATACATGTAAAGTGAGTTCGAATTATATAAAAGAGGTTACGTACAGTGCCATCTGTCCGCGAATATATCAAGCAATAATTCTGTGAAATACAGATCCCGATCATTTAAAGGGAATAAATGTGAAATGAAAAGGAGAGTTACAAACAAACAAACCAAAAAACATACACACATGTAGAACCAATGAACAATTAAACTGCAGAAAATACAGCGTCGTAGATTTTGGTGCCATGAGAAACAAACAAAAAAAAACTGTGTATCGTCTGCATGAAAATGATGTTCACCCCATTGCAATGAATTAGGGATATCAGAAATATAAAGTGTATATAACTGAGGCCCTAAAATTCTACCCCGAGTTACTCCAGATTTCACTTGAAATGGTGTAGACATTTTGTTGTCATTTTCAACTTGTGTCCTATTATTGAGATATGAGTCAATTATGACCGATAAGATATGAGTCATTTATGACCAATCTTACATACTTCTAACATGTTTCGGATGCTTTAGACCAAAAGCAACAGGTTGACGTAGTTTATATGTACATGCAAAAGGCGTTTGATCAAACTGATTTTCACATCCTCATCCAGCGACTATCATCGTTTGGCTTTTCTGAAAGTTTATTTAATTGAGCTTTTTACAAGCTCTCCTTGGCAGAAAGCAATACGTGGAACATGAAGGTTATTAGTTCTCTTTGTACACACCTAGTTCAGGGGTGCCACAAGGCTCGAACCTGGGGCCTCTTTCATATCTGCTTTTCATTAATGACCTGGCAAAAATGATGAATTGCCCCAAACTACTTTACGCTGATGATCTATAGCTATACAAAGTAATTGACAATTATGAACACTACTTGAATTCACAAAATGAAATCGATTTGGTATTCAACCGGTGTTCCAAGAATTATTTACGTTTGAACATATCGAAATGTTACATCTCATCATTTTCTAGAAAAAAAATATAACAGAATTTCCTATGTTATTGATAACATTTCAATTAGTCGAGTAAATGAGATGTCAGATCTTGGAATCACTTCTGATTATAAATTCACCTTCACTTCCCACGTAGATCAGGCTATCTCAACAGCGAATCGTATGTTGGACTTTATTATAAGGAATACAAGAGAGTTCAAGAATATTAACACGATTATAACACTGTTCAATGCCTATGTGAGGTCTGAACTAGAATATGGCGTGTTAATATGGTATTCAATTTACAATTGCCACATACATCATAGGGATGCTGTCCAAAAAAAATTTCAATATCTCTAATTCAAGGTCACAGAAATATATACCCAAAAGGGTACCGTTAATTCTATCCTTCTCTGAATACACGATAACTTTTCAATACAATCTACTGCTGAATAATAAGATCTCGTGTGCCCCCCTTTTACAAATGATCAACTTCCGCACTCCACGCCTAAATTCCAGATATCAAACGACATTTTACTGTGATCTTGGCAGACCAAGTACAGTTTAAAAGCACCAGTGGAAATAATTTGTAACAACTACAATTCAATCTGTGATATGTGCTATATTGATGAAAGTTATATTTTAAAATGTATTCTCACTAGGCTTTTCAACTGTTATCTCTGTCAGTTTTTTTCTTCGTGTGATATATTCTATTTCTATTCTATTTCTTTCAGCTGTAGTAATTATCCTGTTTTGCACATATTTTGTATCAACACCTTTGTACATTTCCTGTAATTGGGTGAATGCCTATCTAATCCAATCTAACATGAAAAGAGCGCAGCTCGAGATGCGTCACCAAATCAAAAAAAAATTAATGAAGCATTCAGAACCGTCATAATTGTCTTTGGCTATGAAAATTTTGTCAACAACATCGGTATGGTTTTTTAAATTAAGCATTACATAAAAAATGCACCAAGCTCTGGGTGTCAGCACAACAATTGAGATTCAATATTATTTTATATTTCGAGTGACTACTTCGATCTCTTCACCAAAAATAATTTAATATATAGGTATGTAATAAGCCATTTTTCGTGGCTAGTTCGTCACGTTAAAGTTAAGCAGTTTTTTTATTGTATAGACAATTATGTCCGTTTTGACTTTCAAAAGTTGCCACAATGTGCAATTTAAGGTTGTCATTGTGCAAGAACCGTTTAAAACAGAAAATATATCCTGTATACGTCATTATTATATGAATGCATGTGGGTAGGTCGTGAATGACATCTACAGCAAGATAAATATTTTTCTACACCTTCAGTCACGGATATTGTAGATGAATTGTTAACATTTACATATCTGGCTACTCGAATATCAATCAAGTTTTTTGTCGTCCGTCGGTGTTCCTCTAGTTCCTAATTAATAACGTTCGTAATACTCATTGTATGAAATCCGTTTCAGTTCACTAGATTCGGTGCTATAGAAATCATGATCGGATGTGTGTTGTTATTTTTAGGAAATCTTGTGCCCGTTTTAACTACTATAAACCTCCAACACACAACGAAAGTTGATATCCTACCGCTATCATTTTCAAATGGACCAGATGGAAATAATATTTTTCATCCTGGAGATGAGGTTTCCCGGCCGAAATTTGATAGGTTCAGTCCGTCTAGTGGATTTGAAAATGATTTTAGGTTACCAAGGACTGAACAGCAGGCAGATAGATTACCACCAGATGAAACAACTCCAAGTCGACCTGGGCTCAATTCGGGACAACCGATTAGTCTACCTAACGACAGAAGAAAAACCTTTCCGGTAACATATATTCCAGAAGACATATCCAAAGAACAAGGTATTTACATAATTCTAGATGAATCAACCTAGATACGGAGAAAAGTTGTAACATTTTTCAGACTAATGATTTTTTGATTTTGGATGGTAGAAGTTAGCTTTGGTTAGATGTATATGCATTTATAAAAAAGTGCTCGCTAGTAATGAATGTAGGCCTATGGAAACCTTCAATGACTTACCGTTTAGATATTTTCAGATATTTCAATATCTTGATTTCGGCAATTTTGGCATTTGATGAGTTTCGAGTAGTTGTCATTTATTGTATTTTTGCGCATCAATCAAGATTTAATATTGTACTTTGATTTGAGGAATTGATAATAACTTTTGTGATGGATTCTCCTCTTTTTTAGGCTACTGAGGCCCACTAATCGATGTCTTTCCACCAGAACAATTTCATATAGGTGTAAAAACGATAAACTTTCAAGTTCACCTCGATAAGTTACTGTGTGTATTCAAAGAATTTTCCACAAAAAAATATGTTCAAAGATTTCAGTAACCTGTCGTATTCAATGATTTTGCCTATCAAAAAAGGTGTAAGAAGTCATTCAGAAAATCATCTTAATGTCCTTGACAGATTTCGAAACGAACTAGCGACAAGAAAACTACAAGATTTTTATAGTCTGAAGGCGAAGGAAGATTTCAGCTTCCGAAACGTTGGGAAAAGTTTCTGAATAATTTCTTAGCTCGTTTTTAAAAAACATTTTGAATTTACGCAGCTTATCGGATGAAACGAAAAAGTTTGCCCTTTCTACAACAGTTTACAGTTATCCATTACAATTTTCTATATTGAAGATTGTGGAAGGCATAAATACCCAAAGAAGGTCGATATAAGACTCTGATTTCCTCCACACAATTGAGTGTTGTTCAATTGTTCATTTCCAACCAATGTGATTCGATTTCATCACGAAGCATGAAACCTTTTTGTTCATCGTGAAATTATCTACAAAAAGTGTTCACTTACAATTTCAAAAAACAAGGTCAAATGAAATTACTAACAAAGCTATTTCAAACTGCATTCCCCAGATATTCTTTCAAATATAATTTGTTACTTTATTTAGGGTTGTTCAATCAGTTACCAGCAATTTTCGGTCGTTATCTTGATTGATAAAGGGGTTACAGCAATTAATATCATAGAATGACAAAGCCAATCTGTTATGCTCATTGAAACTAAGCCAACAATTTTTTTTACTAGCGTAGTTAAACTATTGAACAAGAGTCATTTTTTGTGGACGATATCAGATTTTTCATCGACCTTTTTTGAATATTTATTTTCACGTCTGTAGTGACGTGGAAAAAGTAATACAGTATATTTTTTGAATCGGTAACTTCTACTTTCCTTTAAAAAAAATGATAAACGAAGTTAATACCTTTCTTTACGCCAGCTTTTATATAAAATTATTATATGATTTTTGTGAGTAGAATTTTTGAGAAACTTCTACTACACAAAGTGGGAACTTTTTTCTAGAAAATTCAGTAGTAAATAAAAATAACTCATTTCATCCTGATACTGAAAATTTCAGATAAACTTGGAGAATGGAGTTTATTAAATTTGAATTCAACATTTTAATTTACATTCTTGAGTATAAATTGGATTGAGTTCAAGAATGACGTGAAAATAATAACTTCACCAATTTTTTTTAGCCTAGGCAAGATATCGTTTTTCATTTTGGGATATAGTTGTCTCAGTTAGCCCATTTAATAACTTTTGGCTTTCGGAAGGTGTTGAATAATAAAATACTTGCTTGAAGAATTAATTTCATAAAGACTGACGAAAATGTTTTTCTTATTTCTTATTAACAGGAATATCAGAAAACTAATTATTCAATTGATTTTCTAATGATGGCGAATCTAATATTCAAACATTCATTATTGATATTTATAATTTAAGATCTTCAGTAATATATTTCAATAAGATTCTTGAGTTTACTAGTATTATAAAGCCACATCAAATTTTTTTCCTGTTTATCTTGATTACATATTTTTTATAAATATTTCAGTTCCCAACAATCATCACAGAGGTCACAAAATATCATTAATGATGTTTCACATCTGCCAGGCGTCCAGTTACAACTAACAATTTTTTTTCTACCTGATTTTTTCTTCACTTAGTCTTGTTAACAAATCTTTGGAAACGTTTGGAAAATTCTGGAATGATTCGAAATTTCTTCAAGTTGTAACATTTAGGTAGTTGCTGTTCCTTATTTGTTTTCGAATTGATATTCGCAATACTCACTCAATATTTAGTTCTGAATCAGTAAATTATAAATCAAATGATTGTTTGAAGTTACAGAAATTGTCAAATATTATTTGCAGATGAAATCTTCAAACTGAATCCTAATAATCCATTCTTCTTTCGGTCTATGGATGACCATTATGACGTAGAGAATACCTCAGGTGAGTTGTTTTCCAATAGTATAATGAATTTTTTTCCTATGAATAATTTCCTATTCGTAAACAAAATCTTAACAATTTTTATTTTCAGAAATCAAGTCACCTATTTTCCGTGGCAATCCTTTCTTTTTAACAACAATGGTGAAGTCGAAAACAGGTATTTTGTAATCTGTACACTTTTTTAAACTAATTAGGAAAAAAATAACTTCAAGCTGAATGATGGGAAGCTTTCAAAATCTATTTAACAGTATATTTAATTTTACTTCACTGAGCAGCTAGACATGTATTAAATCACTAGAATTACAGCAGACTCCAAATTTTTCAAAATACCTTGTTGTTTTGGACGAAATAATCATCATAAAAAATAAAAATTTCAGAAAATGTGTGTCGTCTGTCTGCCCTGAAAATTTCTGTCAACATTATATGTCGAACGAATCATTCATTTGAAATGTTCAACATTCATAAGACCTTTCAGATCTACAGATATTAGTTTCTGAAGAAAATCAATTTTTTTTCCACAATTTTGAATGACAAAATAATTTATGAAACCATTTTTATTGCTCTCAGCAAACCGAAACTACTGTATTAAAATTTTTCGAAGAACCAATTCTATACACCTCAAAGTGTTCTATAAAATTGTCCGAACAATTTTTTCATATCCGCAATACTTCTGGATTTATATGAGATATGTACTGTTGATTTTGATGATGGGCTTGAATTTTTTCACTTACCTATGGGAAGACCTGTTAGACATTGTAGTACTGTAGTGAAACAACTATTTGGTTTCAAGCTTCTAAGGCTGGAAGCTGGAAGATTCTACCAGAAGTCCATAAATCTTCTTGCCATCCAGGTGTTCAATGTTTGTTTGGCAAAGCGTAAAGCGATGCCGATGACAGGTTCTGGTTCGATGAGGCTGCTTGCAGTCCCCTCCTCTGCAAGGGAGTCAGCAGCCTCATAGTCTTCCAAGCCAATATGGCCGGGAATCCATACCAGTGACCATCTGTTGTCTTCCTATTGAAGAGAGTCGTTTTTGGCAATTTGCTACCAATTTAGACGTTGCTCGGTATGAGCCAAGAGCTTCCAACGCCGCTTGAGTGTCCGAGAATTTTTATTGACTAGTGTATGCTGTTGGATTCTACCAATGTCTCCGCACACAATTCAATACCATAGATTTCTGCTTGAAATAAGTAAGTAAATGTAATAACTAATTCAGTTCGGGCCAAATCTTGAGACACTTATCCTCATCAGATTGAGCTGAAAGTTTGCAAACACCTTTAGTTTGGATGACAATGCATGGCAGTGCTGCCATCCTATACACAATATGGCAGTTATACAAACTTATTTGAATATTTTTTTGAAATAAGCTTTTATTAACATGCTCTAAAAATAAGAAGGTAACTTTTGAAGCAATTCAATCCCATGAATTTATTACGTTACACAATGTATACAATGTGTAAAAGCCAAATGGAATAAATTCATTATTTCGGTTATTGTACATATTTAAAAATATTCCGAGACACGTCAAATGTAAATTATAATTTGATATTCTTTAACTTAAAAATGCCACCCCTACCTTCAACCCCCTTTGAATGATACGTACAACCCTCAATTTTTTGAGTGGAAGTATAGGTTTGTGATAAATCGTTTGAGAGGTCTCTTCATTCTCTATTCAAAAATGTTATCGCTTTCAAGTTTATTGCAACAATTGGGATAAAATAAATTAAAATCATGTGGTTACCGAAATTCGATAAAATAAACTCAAAAACTAAAATATAATGCAAAACGTAATGAAATATAGAATACGAAAAAGAACTATGGATGTTAACGAAGTAGATGTTCAAAATGTTCACCGCGAACGTCTTGGCAACTTCCTAATCTCAAATAAAACAGTCTTCTAACATTATTTAACATATCAGGTGTGATCTACCTAATCGCAAGCGTTATTCGCTCTTTCGAGTCATTCAAATCTGAAGGTTTAGTTTCATACACATTGTTCTTTACATATCACCATAAAAAGAAATCTAATGAAGAAAGATCAGGTGATCGCGCTGGCCATTCAATCGATCCTCGCCTCCGTATTCACCGATTGGTCATTGTATGGAGATATTGCCGAACATCAACTTGGTAATATGGTTGTGCTCCATCCTGCTGAAACTATATCGTATTCGCTGGAACTTAAGGGTTTCCTGGAAGAGGAGTACATCATTTTAAAGTAGTTCCAAATAATTATCGCCATTTGAGTTGCCCCCAATGAAAAAGAGACCAATGATATAGTTTCTCATAATCCCCACCCAAACATTAACCTTTCGAGGGTATTGCGTGTGTTACTCTCTCATCCAGTAAGGATTTTCCATTGACCAGTAGTGACAGTTTTTACGAGTAGTATGACCGTTACGAGACGAAGTACATAAGATATCATAATGTCTTCTAATTGGGTGATATTGTTATCCAACATGTCCATCATTTGTTCACAAAAATAAATTCTTTTATTGAAATCGTTTTCCATGAGCTCCTGAGAAGGTATCATTTTCTAGAAATGCATTTTATTTCCTTTTAATATGTTAACTATCGATGTATGGTTAACATTGAATGAAGTGGATGCATGTCTACTCGATGTATGTGGGTTTTCCTCAAACTCAAGCATCACATTTAATTTGAGTTCATCACTCATTGCATTGGCAGCTGCTTTTTTTATCTGCCCCACATGACCAAGCTCGCGAAACTGCTTCTCTATTTTGCTTATTGTTCCTTGAGATATGGGCGGTAAATTAGGAAATTTCTCATGAAATAGGCGAGCGATCTACTTCCTATTGTGTTCGGGTTTTATATCCGTAACCAATCATTGGTAAAACTGGTATTTTATACATTTCCGTTATGGTCTGACATGGTTAACTTCAAGTCTGACAAATGGTTAGATTTGTCAGACTTGAAGTTAACGAACTTTGAACTTGAATCAAAATACTGAAAACTAATATCTAATATGATATAAATTGATTTGAAATTTCTGAAAGAATCTGTGAAAAAATTGAATAATTGAAGAGTTAATTTTTTTGTTTTTCTGGTTTGTATGTTATTTCATTGTAATTTCAGTTTTTTGCTCAATAAAATTGTTTTTTCAGCTAATCTTTCAATAATAATGATTAATAATAATAATAAATAATTATTTTTTCACAGATTCTTTCAGGGATTTCAAATCAATTTATATTATATTAGACAATTGAAGTCGGAACTGATGAAATGCACCACGAAACATTGTCAACCACATTCAAACAAACTGACAACTAATGTAACATAAAAAACAAGCTGACAAGGCGTTTTAAAGTAACGTTGCCACGGAAATTATTTACGGTTTTTTAAAGGATACCATCTGGAAATAATATTGCTATGGTTTTTGCTTTCTTTCTTCTTAACGATACCTCAACATGAAATAAGTTTTGAGTATATTGCAATAAGTTTTGAGTGTATTTTATCGAATGTCGGAAACCACATGATTTTAATTATTTCAATGAATTCGAAAACGATATTATTTTTAAATAGAGAATGAAGATACCTTTCAAACTATATATCACAAGCTCATAGTTCCCATTTAAAAAATTGGGGGTTGTACCTGTCATTCGACGGGGGTTGAAGGTAGGGGTAATATTTTTTCGTGTAGTGTGTCAAATTATAATTGAAATATGATGTGTTTCGGGATTTTGTTATAATATGTACTGTAACCGAAATAATGAATTTATTCCATTTGAATTTTACACACTCTATACTATAAAAGCTTGTTGCAAAATTTACCTGTGCAGATGAATGAGAATATAATCGATCTTGACATAAATAATTATCAAAAAAATATATGACTTTTCATGTCGCGACAAACTTTCATGCCATACATCGTGGTGATGTAATTTTTTTTATTCATTCATTCACGGGTAACTCCTAGTTGTAAAACATGTTTGGAATAATTTGCCAAATACTATAAAATCGAAATATTTTTTCAACTCTCAAGCGTGGTTGTATTCTAATAAGTGTTCACGAACAAAATTAGAAATATTCTTGATGGTTCTACGTTTAATAGTAATCACAAATGGATAATTGAAACTTCCCGCCTGTTAAACTTTCGAGTATTGCTTGCAGTGATAAAAAAGAATTCGCTAAAATTACATGAATGTTAGAGTTTACAAACCAGATATAGAGGCCGGGCCGTGTTAGAAATAACACGTTAAAAGTTAAGACCTCGTTAATCCTTAGCTCGCACAAGTTTCTACTTCTGAGGGTTATCGTTTGTAGGGGTGTGACCTTTCAATTTGCGAACATAATAAATCCAAGTATACAATTCCTCAAATATAACCAGTTTGACTATTTATTCATTCATGTTAATCATTTTTAGAACCCAACCCAGTAACTACCTCAACTCTTCTAGAAGAACATGTACCTCCACTAACTAAACGAGGCCCCGGAGAATCAGTCAACTCTAAGACAGTTTTGACAGAAATTGGAAAAGTTTCCTCTGATATTGCTGAAGTCGATATACCGTATGAAAACATTTGCGGAAGGTCAGTCTCTACGAATGAATTGGTGGTGCATGGGGATGCGGTACCAAGGGGAGCCTACCCGTGGCTGGCAGCAATCTTTTGGGTGAAGCCAACTGGGCTGAATTACATGTGTAGCGGTTCACTCATTTCTGATAGACATGTAGTTACAGGTGAGTTATCTCAGTTTTGGTGTTTACCTGCCTAATTGCACAACTTGCATACTATTTTATTTTGTAGTAGATGTAAATATGTAGCAAAAAAAACATCTCAAAACGGGTAAAAATTTGTACAAACAAAAAGTCTACTTAGGTATTTTTGGATATTACTGGAGTTTTTTCCCAACACCAAATCGTTATTTTCAACACGTCGACACGTGTTTCGATCACCAAGTGATCATCTTCAAATAGCAAGATTAAAACTAGAAACTAACTTGAAGGTATTTTTGTTGCACATATAGTCCACCAGCAGTAATCATAGACGTTTCAAATGGAACAGAGAATTAAATCATCGCTGAATGCGCATTAGATATCGCTAAATAAACTAACTCAACATGTTCATTTGTCTTTGTCCTTCTCACTTTGTTGTTAACACTATTCATCGAAAGGAAAAGTAGTATTTCGTTAAATTTTTTGAAATTGTGTGAATTACAGTAACTGAACTTCTCTAGTTCAGACTTCCATTGTCTAATATATAAAATGATTTGAAATCCCTGAAACAACTAAAAAAGAAGGAGAATTAAAAATGAATAGCTGAAAATAACAATTATAATAATCAAAAATAACCTGAAATTAAATAATAGTGAAATAAAATACAAGTAAAAATAGAACGACTGAAGAAAAAATGAAGAAATATTAATGAAAATAAAAATAAGTTAAGAGATTCCAAGCCACGTTAGTTCACGACGTTTCGATTGTTAGTATCTACAATCGTCTTCGGGTGATGGCTGGACTGATTCCTCCGAGAGATGACTATGGGTCGTTCGAGTACTTTCACTTATCCCCGCTATCCATTTTTCCGCTTCACTGGTTCAGTGGGAGATGACCGTTTAGCGGAAGTTGTTCATTTTTCGCTTGATGATGGGTTTCCATATTTGCGTATCTCTACGCTAGCTTGGATGAATACGTTGTTGGACAGCATGTATACGGCTTCCTTGAATTTTCTCCCAAACCAATGTTCTTCTCTGTGTATGATCTCAGCTTGGGACCACTCGATGTTGGGTTGGCCTGATATTCGTGAGGCTGCTACAGATAGTGTTACCGGATTTGAAGCAGGTTCTGATGTTGTACTTGGAACCAATTTTTCTTATCCTCTCCGATAATCCTCTGATGTAGGGAAGTGCAAGCACTAGTTGTAATGGCTTCTCTTCCTTGCGAGGCTCCTGCTGTCTTTTAGCCAAAGTCTTTTCCACCATCGCTTTGGAGTAGTCATTCCGTTGAAGATCATTTTTGATGATGTCTACTTCCTTCTCGAGACCTTCCTTCGTATTATAGACCCCGAAAACACGGTCTAATAGAGTCTTGATGATTCCTCTTTTAGTCGATTGATGGTGGTTTGATTCGTGTTTCAGATACTGTCCCATGTGAGTGGGTTTTCGGTATACAGATGTTTCCCACTTAGTGTCGGTCCTCTTCACCAAAACGTCTGAGAATGGCAATTCTTCGGGTTTGATCCCATTATCAAGTATAAAACTTGATCAACTAGTGGTAATTAGACAAAGGTGTTTTTATTAATTTCATTAAAAAATCCTATATCTGTATAACAATTACTTCAAAAAGTTCAAAATTTGCAAAATTCCTCATAAAACTTCACAGGAAATGATTTCTGTTTGCCACAGTTTAAATTGAAATTTGCACCAGATGATTTATACCAGAAATAATTGAGGATTTTTCAATTTTTTTTTAATTTTTGTTGCAATTCCATTTTTTTAATCTCCATACTCTCAACAGTGGACAATAAAATTCGATAAATCATGTATCATTGTCAATCCAAGAATGCCGCAGCTACAAATCACATTACAGTTACGGATTACATATTGTTTCACGACTACCTCAATATCAAGTATCAATTGACAGTACACTCTGTACACTGTACACTGTACACTGTACACCTCTGAAAAAGATGCAAATTCAAGATAGCCGCAGGTACAAAATGGCGAATTACATATTATCTTGCAATACTGAGGAAATAAATGAAGTGAACAGAATGAAAAGAATTGAGTAAAAAAATTAAAAAGTGAAAACTTGAAAATAAAATAACTAAAAAAAAGAATAATGACGTAGATAATGTACTCCTGGATTTGATAAAAACTAAAACATAATTCGGAGCGTCCTAGGTAGCAGTCTTCACACAACTATTCTCAGCAATGTACGGTATAATAATAAGTAAAATAATAAAATCGTTGGGCGTTGTATTTATATAATTAATCAGGATACGCTACGACATCAATCTACGGTATTGATTAGCAATCTACAGTATTGATCAGATAAGAAAAATAGTAAAATCGTTGGGCGTAATATTTACATATTTACTCAGGTGACGCCTAACGATTTTATTATCTTTTTATCTTATCAATACCGTAGATTGCGAGGAGAGTGGTGTGATGACTGCTACCTTGGACTTCCGAATTATTTTTTAATTTTCAATAAATTATCTTCATCATTTCATCTTTTTTTTCAATGAAACCGTTTAACATAAACATCTCATTTTACTTTTTTCTTCATTGTAAGTCGATTCCTGTGATCGTAATGAAAAATTATTCCTCAATATCATATATTACAATTTACTATTTTACGACTCTAAAACAACTTTTCTTGAGCAAAAAATATTTTTCTCTGAACAATGTGTGTTAAAAATTTGATTGGGTAACTGATTTTGATCCCTGATAATTATCATGAATGGAAGAAAAGATAAATGAAACTTTCTATATTTTTTACCACTTTTATTTTGAACTTACGTTACTGCAGTTTCGTCCTATACGGACATTTTCAAACTTATACAATATTGTATTGTATACAATAATATATTTGTAACTAACGTTACTGCAGTTTAACATTACCCATTCTGACAGAGAAAAGAAGAGAGCAAAAAATGTATTCAATAAGGTTATTTCATTTCTCCAATCACTAATGTTTGGAGTTGAAGTTTGTATGACTGAAGGTGGAATTATGTTTAACTTTTTATAGCTGCTCACTGTGCAAAAAAAGACAACAAAGTGCTCCAACCCAATGAGCTTCTCGTAATCCTGGGAAAACTGAATGTTCAAAAATGGGTGCCGTCACATGGCGAAAGAATAGTTGAACCAGAAGCCATCCATGTCCATCCAGACTACATGGCGTTTTCTGGTGACGCCGACGTTGCAGTATTAGTGCTTAGCGAAAAAATGGAATTTACCAAATATGTGAGACCATTGTGTCTATGGGATGGTAACTCCGAATTAGAAAAAATTGTAGGTGAGTTCACACATCTCGTCACTATTCCAATAGTATCAATATATTTCGGAGATACTTTAAAATCACTATAATTTATAAAGAATATGTTTGTGATCATTTAGTGAATTTCATGAAGGGATCAGAGTTTTTACAATCTTTGTTTTTCATTGTTTTCCTCTTGTTTTTCTCCATAATATCATTCCTACCCAAAGGTACGAAGACAGGTGACGATAAAAAAATTGGAAAAAAAATGATTCTGCAACATGGGCTGTTTTCAAACGCTACCAATATAATTAATGAATACATAAGTTAGGTTAGGTGCAAAGTGAGTGGGTCTATTAGACTCTCCAACGCAGTCCGCAAGAGTTTATTGTGGCTCACACCTATTCACACTCGGCCAAATAAAGCCAGCTTCTTAACGAGGCCGATTAGTTTGTATGGTAAGTGCTCTTTCAGGTCACATGGAAAGAATGCGGCTCTGTCGAACTCTAAAAACCTGATTCGGTCCCCAGTGGGGCAGGCACAAAGTATGGACTCTACAGATTCATCATTTTCCAAACAGAGGCGACACACACTGTCTTCCGACAGTCCGAGTCTCTGCATATAAAGTCCAACAACTGTTTCATATCAAGCTTCGAAGGATGAATAAACGCCATGGAGTGAGCCAATCCTGGAAGATTCTGCCAGAAGTCCATAAATCTTCTTGCCATCCAGGTGTTCAATCTTTCATTGGCAAAGCCTAAAGCGATGCCCATGACAGGTTCTGGTCGATGAAACTGCTTGCAGCAACCTTCTTTGCAAGGAAGTCAGCAGTCTGATTGCCTTACAGGCCATTATGACCAGGAATCCAGACCAGAGACAATCTGTTACATCTTCCTATCGAGGAGAGTCATTTATTGGCGATTTGCTACCAATTTAGACGTTATTCGTTAGGAGTCAAGAGCTACCAATGCCGCTTGACAGTCCGTGGATATTTTTATTGACTTGTGTATGAGGATGGATTTTTTCAATCTCTCCGCACACAAATCAGTATCATAAATTTCCGTTTGAAATACTTTCGCGTAGTTTCCTAGGCAGGTTGATATCTATGTCGTGGATCTGCGACTGAAAACATCTGCACCAGAACCAGAAGGTGTTTTCGATCCTTCTATAAACCAACAACTATCTGCTCTCAGTATTTCCTTATTACGGAGGATCCAGTCCTCTCTACTCAGGAACAGTAGTTTATAAGGCAGTTCGTAGTTGACAGTTGGAGGCATAGAGTCAGAGGTCATTTCCAGAATGCTGTGACTTCCAGTGTCAACTAACAGTCTGTTGCACTCTGCATTAAATTTATTTGTGCGATTGGCAATGTGCACAAGTCTATATTCAGTCCATCTAGCCTCTCTCTCCAGAAAAATGTGGAGAGAAGGTAGATCTAGAAGGATCTCCATGGGCGCTGACGGTGTGGTACTGATGTCACCACTGATGGCCAGACAAGCCTGTCTCTGTAAGCCAGAGAGCTTCGCCTGGGCCGTTTTCTGTAGAGCCTTCGGCCACCAGGCAATTGCAGCAGAAGTGATCATTGGTCTGGCGAACAACACATACATCCAATGGATTTGTTTGGGACCTAAACCCCAAGTTTTACCACCAATCCTTCGACATGCCCATAGGGACAGCCTGACTTTGTGTAAAACTTTTTCCAAGTCAGTGTTCCAGGTGAGTTTTTCATTAAGGACAATGCCAAGGTATTTCACCTCCATTCCAAATGGAATGATCAATGATCAAGCAGACTATCCGTCAGGAGCGACCACAGAAGGGGAGATAGTACTCCACCTTGAGGGCAGCCTCTGGTGATCCTGAACTTGATTTCCTCCCCTTGAAGAGTCGTAGTTACAGTTCTGTTCACCAGCATGGCATAGATCCAACCAGTTATGGTCGATTTTATAACTTTCCTAGCCAGAAATTATCGTATAGATTCAGGTAGTGCATTGTAAAATGCTCCTTCAGTATCGAAAAATACATCAACTGCAACCTCCTTGTTGTCAAGGAAAATTTTCTCTACAAAGTTGTTCAATGCTGAATCTGTCGATTTGCCGGTTTAATAAACATACTGCTGCTTATTCAGGTGGGATGCATATAATGCCACCCTCCTCCGTCCAGAATCCTTTCAAGTCTTTTCAACAGGAAGGATGTAAGGCTGATTGGATGTACCGATTTAGGTTGTGAGTCTTCCCGACCCACTTTAGGTATAAATACCACCCTTGCTGCCAACCAACTGGGTGGTATATAGTTCCACGCATGACCAGCTGTATACAATTCTATGAGAACAGGTAAATTATTTCCAGTCCGTTTTGTAGAAGAGCTGAAAATATACTATCCTCTCCAGGAGATTAGAAGGATAAATACATAGCTAATATTCGAAACTATCGTCAACTGGGATGTTCGAATATATATGAGAAATATGGATAAGTCTACTATTGAAACTAAGGAATGCCACATGAAAAAGTTAGCAAAATATATTAATATTCTTACACCATATACAATACAAAAGATACCCTGTGCCACAAAAAAGTAAACATAATAATATTATGAATAACGATAATGGACCAATACCAAATAACATACTATATAGCTTGTTGAAATAATATTGTTGGGTTTACTGATTAGTACAAAAAGACACGCTACAAAAAGACACGCCGGCTGAAAATTGTTCTATATATAGCTGTAACATTTAAACATACATAAGGACATATTGTAAATAATAGAAAGGCCAATTGTAAAATTAATTTAGGGTGGTACACTTGTATGGGTGGTATTACTGATTACCTACCTGTATGATGTACCTGATTAGTATAAGTAGCTTTAGTTTTGAGTAGTTATTAGTTTTATCTTCCTCTTGAAGATGATCACTTGGTGATCGAAACACGTGTCGAGGTGTAAAAATAACGATTTGGTGTTGGGAAAAAACTCCAATAATATTCATTACTACACCAAAGGTTCCAAACAGTACATCACAAGTACAAAATATGTTTATTGTGGAAACTTTATTGATGGTCCCTCTGCATGTAGAAGTACTCCAGATATTTAGGAAAATGTCTATTCAACTCTTTCAATGTGGTTTTTTACATCACCGAGAATGTTATTTAATTATTGTTGTTTGGTGATAGTGGGACAAAGATAGAAATGATTAAAATAATTTTCAATGCAATGTCTCCTAGAGTTTTATGTTGAAATGTTTATTCATATTTTCGAAAAATTCATAGCATTTTTGGGAGGCAATTATCAAAAAACTTTTTCTGCATTTTGTAGTTTCACTTCTTTCGCTAAAGAGACAGTCTCAATCTCATTTTTCACTTCGAAAAAATGTTTCGTTGGGGTCTTGTGTTGAATAACGTTATGTTTTTCTATTGCAGGGAAACAAGGGACAGTGGTAGGATGGGGTAAGGATGAAGATGGGAATCTTATGACTGAAGAACCTAAGCAAATCCGTTTACCAATAGTTAGTCAAGAAACATGCTTGCGAAGTTCCTACCAATTTCAATACATCACGTCTAACAGAACATTTTGTGCGGGTAAGTTCACTGTGCCCATTTAGAGAACTCTTTTCATTGAAAATATATGGTTATGATCCCCTGATAATCGTCAAAACACTGTTCTGGAGCGTGAAAACATAATTTATGACAAAAGTACCAGTTTAACCTGAAAATGAACTCCTTTCTGATTGTATTTTCACAAGCAATTGGACCCAAAAATACACTACTCTGTATTCTCAATTTTTAATGCCAAGGTTTCGGCGATTATTATCACCGTTTTTCAGGGCTATAATAAATATAATAACTAAATTTGAAATACTTCAATATTGTTTATTCAGAATATTATATTCATTGTAGCCCTAGAGGAGACGAGAATAATCGTCGAAATGTTGGCATTAAAAGTTGCGAATACAGATTATTTTCTTTCTGTTTCTCAAATCACTTCGACATTTTTGAGATTCCATCATTTACTTCTTTAATTTCACCCAGTTGACTCGACCTGACACATGTATATTTTGATTTGATCATGCATCTGAAGACAAATTTCATCTTTCAGAATTACTTGAATAACTTTACAATCTCTATAATCTTTCAAGAGTTGGAAAAAGTCGCTCTTCTGTACAGCTAGTGACAGGCAGTGTAAACAATATTTTGAACATAGAACGCAATTTGGGAAACATATCAGCAAACTTGAATATTTTAAAAATACGGGATCAATATTTTTTTTGTTTTCTTGACAGTGATTAAAATCAAATCAATATGGTATTGTGCTAACTTGTGCTAACGATAAACTACCTAAAGGAGATTGAAAGAACTTCACATGAGCTCATGGTATGTGAAATTGAAACAGATGAGCAACATGAATTTATTATAAATTGAGTGGAGGTTATCGACTGTGGAAAAGTTGGTTGAGTCTGGATCGTAACTCAACGGCTTCCACGATTGATTTATGAATCTCTTCGAATCCCAATAACCTATCATGGTTTTCCACCAATCATGTGTCACATGAAAATAACATTTTTCCACCTTGTCCCGAGAAACTTCAAATATTGTCTTTCTGCCTTCTGGCAGAATTCGTGAGGAAATTTCTCATTGATTTGACAAGGATGGGTCTTCTTTGTTGAATTTTGCATGAACGTTCCTAAGTTCAATTCAGAGAATGTGAGCTGCAATGAACAAGCAAAGCATAAAAAAATGGTTTTCTAAAAAATGCTTAAACCTTTTTGAATGATATTATCATTGCAACAGCGCCATCATAGTCTCGACTTAGCTGACTTAGCAAATAGGTGCTGATGAGGTATTGAAGACGAGTGTGTTCAACACGAAACTTCGATGAAGTACACCTTCAAGCTGATCGAGTTGCATGTAAATGAAATTTTTCATCAATGGCCTTGCATATATAACGTTGTGTGGTGTTCCTATGCATGTTATCTTTTTGAATTCTATAACGAATGTTTGGAGTACAACCTGAATGGAAAAAAGTGGTTTTCATGAAATTTAGTCTCCATCTGAGAGTAGTTGCTTGGAAAGGACTATTTCTTTCAATTCATTTGTTCGTAAGAAAATATTTTTTTGTATTATTTCACCAGATGTCCATAATTAGATCCAAAATGCTGAAGTTTCCATCGTTTATCTCTGGCTCAGAGTCATTCAGTTTAACACTGAATTGAAATTATATATTTTTTTGTTAACTAGTTTAGTGTTCCAATAATTTTTCTGAAAAAAGGTTGGTTGGGTAAGAATTCTAGTCTCCAGTACTTTATTCCGTCGTTATAATTATCTCAGTGATGTTTATCCTTCAACTATCACGAACTAAAATCATATACAGGTTGCTGGAAAATCATTCGTTATTTCTCGGGTCTTGGCGCTATTCGTCATCCTTTAGTTTGGATGCTGATTCATCGTTGCTTCTAGTATGTTTTCGCAACAGGGTGGTTCAAAATCTATTCAAAACATGTTTTTTCATTAACCAGCTATCGCCCCCTACGAACGATAACTCTTATAAGTCGAAACTTGTGCGGGCTAAGGAATAACGAGGTCTTACCTTTCAACGTGTGATTCTCAACACGGTTCGGAGATAGGAGTTGAAAATCGATCGTCCGGCCTTGCGGTTTGAACCACCGATTCACACAGTGGTCGAACGATAGGCAAGCATCCCCTCTATGGCCAGCCAGGGGTTAAATCTGCTCATTCCTGATCAATGTTCTTTCCAGTCAACTAGTTTGTTGAATTTTCACTGTTTTTCAACCTCGATGAATTCTGTGATTTGTCAGACTCTTGGGTACTTTATTAAGGTGCTTTAGGTAGCAGAAATATCGTCTGTTGGTTGAAAACATGATCTGAGTTCTGAAAGAAAATATTGAAATTAAGTAAAAATTGAATATATGGGTACCTGAACATTACGTACATATAAGACAAACATATAAACAAGTGTTATGAGAGTGTTATGAGATTATTCCATTTTGTCATATCAAAATTTTCATTTCATTCAGGTTTTCGAAATGGTTCCGGACCATGCAATGGAGATAGCGGAAGTGGATTCATCATGCAGCGCCATGGAAGATGGATGCTGAGGGGAGTTGTTTCAACATCAATATCTGACAACCGTGAGAGGACATGTGATCTAAGCAACTACGTTGTCTTTACAGATACTAGTAAATTTTATGATTGGTTTTTGTCTTTCATTAAATAGAAATTTAAAGTACATTTAGTATTTTATTGGACTTTGTTGAATTATATAATGATCTATTAAGGTATCATATAATAAATTGATGGATGTAGCCGTTACTACGTAGGAGATCATAATAAAAAAAAATTAAAATTTCTATGTTTTTTACCACTTTCAATTGTTACTAACGTTATTGCTGTTTCGTCCTATATTGACATTCTCAAACTAATACAATAAACTAACAATGATTCATTACATTCGCCAATATATACCATTCAAGTACTTGAGTACCTGAATTTACAGTTCACAATGTGCCAATTTAAAAACTGGAGAGTAAATTGAATCGATTTGATCATTGTAACAGGATGCACCCGCAATGCTAGTAAATTTCCAAGGATTCTAAATAATTGAGTTTGCAACCCTTTCTTGCATAGTGCATGCTGCTTCCACATTGTTTTTTCTGAAGAAACCTGCGATTATTTCTGTTCCTTTTCCAAAATATGTTAGCGTTACCCATTTCTTGATTTCTGGTTGTTTGACCTGAGGATATATTAATCTGTGAGTGAATTTCCAGCTTTGTTTCCTGATTAACTTCTGGATAGTGTCTGCAGACAATCTAGCTAGGGAAATTGATACAATTACACACATAGGTTTCAACGCAGATACTATCCAGAAGTTAGTCAGGAAACAAAGCCGGAAATTCACTCACAGATTAATATATCCTCAGGTCAAACAACCAGAAATCAAGAAATGGGTAACGCTAACATATTTTGGAAAAAGAACAGAAATAATCGCAGGTTTCTTCAGAATAAACAATGTGGAAGTAGCATTCAGACCACATGCCAGGTTATCTCATTTTCTTTTCAATGCCAAAGATAAGGTCGACAAGTCGGAAAAATCTGGAGTTTATAAGCTCAAGTGTCCGGAAGTGTGATAGTGTTTATGTGGAACAATGCGGACGAAATTTCCAAAAACAGTATGCTGAACATGAAAGGTCCTTCAGACTAGGAAAAAATTATTCGACGTTTTCAAACCATTCCTTGGCATGCAACCACGAGTTTCCGAATCTAAACGATACGGAAATTCTGCACTATGCAAGGAAGGAATGCAAACTCAATTATTTAGAATCATTGGAAATTTACAAGCATAAACACATTGCGGGTACAACCTGTTAAATGATTAAATCGATTTATTTTACTCTCCGGTTTTTAAATTGGCACATCCGCATTGTGAACTATAAATTCAGGTATTCAATCAAGTACCTGAATGGTATATATTGGCTAATGTAATGAATCATTGTTAGCTTATTGTATTAGTTTAAGAATGTCCATATAGGACGAAACTGCAGTAACGTTAGTTACGAATAAATAAGGATGAGGATGCAGTTCCAAACTACGACGGCCTTCAAACCCGAATGAAGATAGTATATTTGGTTTATCTGATGAAATATCCACAAGGCAAGGTTTGAATTACCGAAAGGGAAATCCCTAAGAGTGATTTATTCCTAATAAAATTCAAACGACTGTTTCAAAGAGTTGGCTAGAAAGCAGCCTACGAAAAATTGTATTGAATATAGAATTACAGGTAATCTTGAATTTTATCGATTTATTTCTGATATTGAATTCGATAATAAAATATCAAATAAAGGAAAAAAGACATCGAAAAAGCTTACACATAATGGGCTTATTTCATGATTTTTGGTTTATAATTCACTCGATAGAAAGTTTAAATTGTAAAACACTGCACTTCGTTTCATCTCTCTAAGTACCATAGTTTTCCCGTAATTAATTATTAAAAATCGAATTTGGTACGGTGGTGACGTCACGACCCTATTCCCGCTTCTTGTTCGATTGACCAATAGGAACAATAGAAATAATCAACATTGCCAAATCGTAAAATTTACAGAGCCTATAATTATCAATTTATTTATGGAAGTGTATATGAACCCGTTAACGTTTCAATTAATGAAAAATTCTACACATGAAATAAAGTGTATAGGAAAAATCATGTTTGGAACTATGTCCTATATCTAAAATTAGTGCACAAATTCGAAAGATCACAAAATATTTACCTAAACTATGCATTATTATGTTATGCATTATTTAATAATATACAGTTATGAAAATCAAAAAATATAGCAAACTGGATTAAAGAATCATTTCAAATATTCAATTTATTCTACAATCCTCAATCAGTACAACTGCAATTTATTATAAAAAAAAGATTGCTACATACATACCTCTTTGTAATATTGCTATTGCTCGCTTGGGTAATCTGTTGAATCTTCCAAAACTTGAGAGAAAGGTTGAATGAGGTCAAGTATAGACAGAATTGATTGTATTCGAATTGATCCAACGAAACCTTCTGAGGTAATACCATTAATCATATGATAAAATTTAATGAAGTAAAATGAAAAACATTTGATTTTTTTTGCAAAAATATTAATTCATATTCTTTCATACTTTCAGCAACAGTATTATCTCCAGATAATACTTTCTGTGGAGAATACTTACTTGAAGTTGAAATGAAAAAATTGTGTCATCAAATTCCATATTTTCGTTCCCCTGTTATTTATAGTAACTTTATAAATGATTTTTATAAAGTCTTGGAAGAGTATAAGGATTGTAGTTATTTCTTGTCAATACTTTCAACCTTTTTTCTCATCATTTTATCCTTTGGGAACCTAAACTCATTATATGAAATAACTCACCTATAAACCAATGCGCTTTTTGTTTTCTTGTGCCTTTCTGCATAATTAAAATCAGCACAAGAATGCACCATATTGATATTCAAATATATCTCTAAAAACAAATAAGTATGCAATAATAAGATCGCTCGAATCCAGGAATTTAGCTTAAAAATGGACAATAATATTTGCCTTGATAACTGCTATAGTACAAGTTATATCTAAATATGTCTAAATAGAATTTAACGAGCTGTATTTTCAAATGGTTTTCGAATGCTCATGAACCCTAATAAAATATGTCAATTATGCATTCATGCCACTCACCAAAAATAAGAAATTCAACCTTACTGGTATATTAGCCAAATTGTCATCCAGTCAGCCAGCGCTCTCTGCTGTGTCTGTAGTGTATGCGACATTGTGCTCTTTCTACTGTCAATGGTTTCCACACATAACTTCGTATTTTTGTTAAAATAATTTCAAAATGAATGTTAAGCCTAGTTTTGTTAAATCTGACTCCGACAACTTACCAAGAGTCGAATTTGAAATGATCGATGAATTTTACTTGAAAAACTTGCAATACTTTGATACCGAAATGAAGAATGGAAAATTGACAGGGTAGGTGGTATATTTAGTAGGTCCCTTTTAATTATATGACATTCATAATTTTTATTTTAGTTTGGCCAAGGAGCAGTATGGTGACAATGCTGTATATGTTCAATTGAAAAGAGAAACAAAATATGTATAGTGAAATGTAGAATTACTCTAGAATATATCAATCTAAAAATAACCTGAATCAGTATTTCGTTACTATATCAAAAATGGCAAAATGTGAGTAATCAATATTCTCAATAATGATTAATCATGGGCAAATGAGAGATAGGTTAGTTTCTGTCGCCAGTTATTAGTTCTGCAAAACATATTACAAAAAATTTCGCTTGGCAAAGATAATTGTGTTGAAAGAGAGCATATGCAATGACTTTTCATGTCATTATTTTATACCTAATGACAGCTATTGTTATCGCTCTATGGTATCACTTCGTTCATGTTGAAGAAATCATAAGAGGTTGAGGTAGATAGATTGTATCCATATAATGGAACTTGTTCTACCATCAACGCTGGTGTTCCCCAGGAATCTATATTGTCTCCAACCCTCTTTCTATTGTACATCAACGACTGATGACAGCACACTTGTTTCGTCATTCCATTTGGATTCCAGGACATCGGCGGCGAATGCACATCTTCACCGGCAGCAGGAGGTTGCATATCGTAATGAGGATCTATAGGTAATTTCGAATTGGGATGACCATAACCAGGTTCAATTCAATGCCATAAGAACCCAGGTATCAGTTTTTTCCAAAAAGATAAATGTCTCCGAACCGGATATAATAATGTGAGGTCAGACTTTCTGCTTCGGTAAGTTTATTGGGGGTTAAAATGGGCACCAATATGTCTTGGGACAATCATGTCGCTGGAATTGCATAAGCCGCTTCTCAAAAACTTGGAACATCGTTCCGAACTAGAAATCTGTACACACCTCAGCAACTTTTGATGCTTTATAAAGCTCAGATCAGACCTTCTTTGGAGAATTGATTTTATGTATGGAGCTCCGCCCCTAAGCATAACTTGGAGCTACTGGATTCCATCTTGAAAGAGTCATCCGCCTGATTGCAGACGCGAACATCATGTGCAACCTTGATAGCCTGGAACATCGAAGAAAGGTTGTAGATTTGTCTCCCTTCTGTGAATACTTTCACGGGAAGTGTTCAAGTGACTTGGCACATTTGATTCCACCAAGAGTGAAACATATCAGAAATACGCGACGGACTGTGGCTGCTCATCGTTTTGAGGTTCAATTCAGTACACCTCGAACTTCACTGTTCATGAACTGTTTCATTTGGAGAACTGCTTTTATGTGGAATATACTTCCTGAGAAGGGTTCATAAATGGATTTAATCTCCAGCGATTTAAATCCAATTTTCCAGGATTTTCCTGTAGTGCTTGTGTTTTGCCCTTAAAAAATATACTAATTTATACCCTCAACCTTGTGGTTGAAATGCCATAACATTCCAATTTTTTATGACTAATTTGATTCGAATTTTTCTTCTCATTCGTGAATATGAGGTAAATAAAACGTAAAAATATTTTTTGTGAAGGTCGCCAACCTATTCTAAGATTAAAGTAACGTAAATCTTACTGAAAAGATTAGTTCGGTATTCAAATTCAATAATTTTGAAACATACTCTAATTTAAAAATCAGCGTGTATTGCAAGTTTTCAGCTCAAATAAAAAAATAAGCATCGCCAGCATTGTAAACAAATTGAAATGTTTACATTAATTCAATGAAATTCAGTGATTTGGTTGACAAACTCATTGTATTATTATTGCACCGAAACTACATCACCAAATACTAAAAATGTATTTAAAAAATACATTTTCAGTCTTTCATTATTCGTTTCACCAATTTTTTTCGTGGTATCACTTTCACAAACTCATTTTGTATTAAAAAAAATTCAAAGGAAAGTTCTTAACTAGCGTGGTGTGAAGTCCATGAAATTTGAGCTGATTTTTATTTCGACTGTGACTGACAATTTTGTTATCAAAAGCAAATATCTGTCATACATATGAACCGCATTATAAATTATACCTAAGCCGGCCCTGCCTAAATTTCATTTCTGATTATTATCCTACACATCATCGGAGATTTGCATATTAACTGGCTGAGGCCTCGTAGCATGCACAATGATTTAAAGGACTTCCCAGAACTTCAGAATGTTGAATTGAACTCAATCTCAAGTTTTCTCATTAGTTTCTCTCTCCTTCTGAAGAAAATAAGTACCTATGAAAAAGAACAAAAGCCGATGTACCTACATCTTATTCTCCTACCGTCGTAGTATCAATATTGAAAGAAAGTGGCTGAGGAGACACAATACTGGTTTTTGTTGACATGTAAAAAAAAGATAAATATTCCCAATATGTTTTGGTTGAAAATGCAAAAGCTTCATTGATTTCGACTCAAGAAGGGGCGAAGTTGTTCGGAATTTAAGTTTTGACACTCGACACTCATTTCGACTGGAGATTCAGTGAATTATAGTGAACATTTGAAGATAATCTAATGAAATGTATGCCGAATTTTGAAACTGTGCAATTCAAATCGACGGAATATATTTATTTTCTGTCGCTAGGTTTTACAGAACAATTCTCAGGAAGAAGGAACATTTGTGCAGTAAATTTTTCTGGATTTTCCAAAATTTCTATATAAACTTCAGGTAGTATGATACCTTTATTAATGACCAGTTACCTGGAAGATCACATCGCAGCTCTCAGTATATAATTTGAATGGATGTCAGTTTCTTCCCGAATGAAGATGTGCTGAGAAGTGTTAAAATTATTGTTTATTGATTATGTGTGTTTCATAAAAAGTTATCGATTTATGTGTTTCGTGACTACTCAGTTTCGTGAACGTAAGTAATTCTAAAATTTCACAATATGATGATGATTATGATGATGATGGCATCCGTCATTATATAAATGAAATGAATATTGTGAATATTCAGAACTGATTGCGAGTAACAAATGAATGCCAAACACCAATTTGACAAATAGGAAAGGAAACTAAAAATTCTTGTGTTGGACAAGTCGCTGACAAAATTATAGCACAGGTATTTGAGTCCAAATTCTGAGAGAATATCAGTGGTTGTTTTTGGAAACCTGTTCAAAAACTAAAATTGGCGAATTCTGTTGTTTTGGCTCTACCGCCTTCATTTCGAATGATATAAAAAATCAATTCTGTTTCATATATTTGTTATAATTTAATGTTAACAAATTTGCAATGCGACGTTTCCTTCATTAGATTTCATCATTATTTTTTTAAATATGAACCTCTAGTTTCATCGATTTTTGAAGCTACTGTAATAACAAATCCAGCTATTCCATTCTTCCGCTTCTATTCGGAATGGAGGCGATGGAGCCAAAAAACAAAATTCGAGAATTCTATTTTCTGGCGAACATTTAAAAAATATTAATGTTCTTATGATATATTTATATCAGATGAGAATCACTTTTCTCCAGCCCTTGCCCTTCCGGATTATGATTATAAAAATGAAGATGTATGTACTCAGAATTCACTCAGTTACGTTTGTGGATACATTTTAAAAAAAACTCTTCGAGTTCATACATGTTATGTGTGTCACTCTTTCAGCACGAAGTGCAGGACTTTGGATGTAAATCGTATTTTAAGCTATTTTGAAGCTTATTCTACGGAAAAAAACATGTTTGGAAATTTGCGCTCACCACCAGACGAATTCATTAATTTTATGTATCATTTGGAATGTTTATTTAACAATCGATTTACAGAAATTTCTACTGGGGAAGCAGTTTCGAATATATTATTCAACCTAATGAAGGATGTAGATTTTCTTCATCCTTGTGAAAATTTTCCAAAAATTAAGAATGAAAGTTTTTTATAGTATCAAACATACTAATAGAGATATCAATAATACCAAAGGTAAAACTGTAAAAAGGAAACTGAAGATTCTGTCACATTTTTTAATTAAGAGGTTTTGGTAAAATATCTTGTTTCATTATTTTTTCATTTGGAACCTTACTTAATTAGAACCCTCAGATTGTATTGATGTTGTTAATAAAAGTTTAAGTTAAGACTACATAAAATAACAAAAGACACTTCTATTCATTTCATCCTTAGTGGACTTATTCATTTCAGAGGATATAAAATGATTATATAATATAAGCATCATTCTATTATCGTAACTTTATTTTAATTTTCTATCTAATGAACTGGATTTACAAAATAAAATAATTCAATTCATTTCTTAAAAGCCAATTCATCATAAATAATGATAAATTGGCCACATAGTTTAATATTCTCTATTATTACTGCGGATGTTGTTCAATTAGCAATATAAAAATTGAATGGAGTAAGATGCCCTTCACACTATAATTTTATATTTCACAGTGAGCCCACGTACTATGCTAGAACGTAAGAGTATGTATTTTTATTAGTGTATATCGCTGAGGGGTCATTTTTCTCAGTGAACCAGGTTGTCTATCACTCAAAATCTTCGGTTCGGAGTTAGGACATCGGTAGGTAGGTATTCTCGGCTATAGCTCAATACTGGATTAGGAATATGTTTTTCAACAAATTATTATTAAACCTATATTCATATCAGTGAGAAGTAAATAGAATATTTCACTATTCATTATGAAAAGTGAGGAATGAGACATTTTCAAACTAATAGAATATTGTATTAGTATTAGTACATTTATATTCTATTAGTAGAATATTGTATTAGTTTGAAAAGGTCCTTGTAGGACGAAACTGAAGTAACGGTAGTAACAAATACAAGTGGTATGAAAACATAGGAAGTTTTATTTCTCATTTTTCGTGATGATCTCTTGTCACTTGGTAAGGGCTACATCCATCAATTCATTCAGTATTTATCTGAATTTCATTAGTTCGGACTTCCATTGTCTGATATTATATAAAATGATTTGAAATCCCTGGAATAACTAAAAAAGAAGAATTAAAAATTAAAGAAGAAGAATAAAAATGAATAGCTGAAATAAACAATTATATATAGCAAAACACCTGAAATGAAATATGAAGATAAAATACAAGTGAAATTGAACAAATTGAACAAAAAATAAATAAAATTAAAAAGTTAAGAGATTCCAAGCCAAGTTAATTCACGACGTTTCGATTGTTAGTATCCACAATCGTCTTCTAGTGATGTCTGGACCGATTCCACGGTGAGCTGACTATTTATAGGTCATTTGAGTACTTTCACTTATCTCTGCTTTCCTTTTTCCGTTTAGTTTGAGATGACCTTTTGGCGGGAGTTAGTCATTTTTCGCTTGATTATGGATTTCCATATGTTGTATATCTCTACGCTAGCTTGGCTGAATACATTGTTGGATGTTATGTTATGTCGATATTCGATATTATGAACATAACATCGAATGGTCCCAAGCTGAGATCATACACAAAGAGGAACATTGGTTTAGGAGGAAATTCAAAGAAGCCGCATACACGTTATCCAGCAATATATTCAGCCAAGCTAGCGTAGAGATACACAACATATGGAAACCCATAATCAAGCGGAAAATGGCCAACTCCCGCCAAACGGTCATCTCCCACTAAACCAGTAAAGCGGAAAGAGGAAAGCAGATATAAGTGAAAGTACTCAAATGTTCGATCGAATACCATCTTTATATTTAGAAAGTAGTTGAACAGATTGGAATGTTTGTAATTCGTCTTCACACATCGAAAAGTTTTTTACGTTCCGGAATTCGTTTGGTTTGCAAAATAGGCTCAACACCAGTTTTTTCAGCAACTTCTCCAGCTTTTTTTCCAATAATTTCATTGAATTTTGTCCCATTTTCTGCTAAGTTTTGAGCAGTCCATCCATTAAGGCGATGGAACGGACAAGGATAATATCTTCATTCTGAATTTCTATATTCACTCGATTGATTTCGTCGAGAATATTCGCTCAAATAGATAAATCAGGAATTTAATTTTTTTTTATAGCAGTTAAGAGATGACCTGCCTCGTAATTATCTTCTGGAGCATGAGAAGTTTGCTTAATTCCTTGTAAGGCTTTCACTACTGCTAGCGAATTATTTTATAGGGCTTTCACATCTCATCTGACTACTTCTTTTTAGATTTGTTTCACCATATTTTTTCATAATATCCAACCCAGTAGTGGACCAACAAAAAAGCAATATACTTTTTGAATCAGTCCAAATAGATTCCTGATTGGCCTGATGAGATTGCCACGACGTTGTCCAATATCTAATATAATCGACAAGTACCAAATAGTAAACACACATGTCGTGGAGAGAAATCGACGAGGGAGTTTTCAAATATAGCTTCATACCTTTTGCACGCATGGTAATCAGACGCGCACTGTCGCGATTCCTGCGGGCGAACGGGCGCGTATTTTAAACTATGCCTAAGCGCCTGACGAAAAAATGATATTCGTGCCTAGTGTAGGTCTAAGTTAAGTGAATGATAAAATTTCCATTCGGCTGTAAATTGTGTCGCTCTCTGAACTATCCGCTCGGGGCATAAGCCCCGGCTTGACCCCTAGATCCGTGCCTGAAACCAAATTACTAGTTTCAAGGAAATTTGAGTGAAGGGACTGAATGAATATTTCCAATGTTCCTAAACAGTGGGAACTGGTAAAACCATCTTGGTAAAATCACATATTTTGGCTTATACCGCGATGGGCATTTGATTATATTAGACATTTATGCAAATTACCTCACAGATGATAATTTTTCATGTGTTTCTCATTCATACACCAGCAGGACAATGCTGAAATCTATCGAGTAGGTTACCTACAGACCGGTTTCTGGATGTTACCCTCATCAGTGCTAGAAAGATCCGACCCAAACAGCAGTTTCTTAATATGAATGTATCTCTTTTCGACAAAGCCATCAGACTTATTTTGATTTTTGTTGTAGTGTTGGTTAGGCTATGTTCCGTTTTTACCCAAAGGAAAGCTATGAGGACTGGAGGTTTCGCTCTCTAGAAATTTCGAGAATGTTCGAGAGCATTTCAGAACATACCGTAATATTTTGGAATGTGAAATTTTTTTTTGTATGGGTTGTGCTATCCGTTGGAATGGGTATATAAAGCAAGATCCGTTAACCTTGTATACATTTATATTACTTTCAATATTGAAATGAGTAAGTACCTATCTGAAATCTGAAATCTGTTTTTCCGTTAATCAGCTGCCGCCCCATACGAACGACAACTCTCAGAAGTTGAGAAACTTGAAGAAATCACAGAACACAAATACGACTTTCTACTACTCCATCTTGATACAAAAAAAGGACGAGGGAATCTTCCAAAGAAAGGAAGGAAGTAATCAATTTGAAAATAAGTAACTCTATACATGGATGTGTAGATCATGCAAAGAAGTAACTTGGAAGTAGCATTCAGACCACATGCCAGGTTATCTCATTTTCTTTTCAATGCCAAAGATAAGGTCGACAAGTCGGAAAAATCTGGAGTTTATAAGCTCAAGTGTCCGGAATGTGATAGTGTTTATGTGGAACAATGCGGACGAAATTTCCAAAAACGGTATGCTGAACATGAAAGGTCCTGCAGACTAGGAAAAAATGATTTGACGTTTTCAAACTATGCCTTGGCATGCAACTACGAGTTTCCGAATCTAAACGATACGGAAATTCTGCACTATGCAAGGAAGGGTTGCAAACTCAATTATTTAGAATCATTGAAAATTTACAAGCATAAACACATTGCGGGTGCAACCTGTTAAATGATTAAATCGATTTATTTTACTCTCCGGTTTTTAAATTGGCACATCCGCATTGTGAACTATAAATTCAGCTATTCAATCAAGTACCTGAATGGTATATATTGGCTAATGTAATGAATCATTGTTAGCTTATTGTATTATTTTAAGAATGTCCATATAGGACAAAACTGCAGTAACGTTAGTAAGAATTAAAAGTGGTAAAAAACATAGAAATTTTCATTTCTCTTTTCAGTATCATAAAATTATTAATTTAATAGTTAATTGGGGATTATGGCTGATCCTCAAAGTATCAAAAGTATCCTCGTAAAAAGCATGTCAAAAAGGGGCCACTCTTTACTACAAGACTGCCTTAATAGCGTTGAGGATCGAGATGATCTGAATGCAGGTATATAATTAGGTATTATAGACTAGGAAAAGGTTATCAAAGCTCAATAATTCATATGGTATTATACCAAGGTGTATATTCTCCTACACCTGACTATGTATAAACCTTCTTGGTCAAGAGATAAAAACATCGTTGAAAAGGTATATACACCCATCAATTGACTCATTTTTACACCAATAGAAATTAAATATTCATTTGAACCTTTTTTATATGCCTTCTGATGTACCATGAAGGTAGCATCACGAATAAATAAGGATGAGGATGCAGTTCCAAACTACGACGGCCTTCAAACCCGAATGAAGATAGTAACCAGAACG